GGGTGCGTGATTTGTCCCTTACACCATGAACTTCCAGGGCGCAGGATGGAAAAACACTCTGGTGCTCGGCCACGCTTTGGATTGGGGGGGTCGAGCAGCCCCCCCCCCCGCCTCTGTCTGTTGCCGTGGCACGCTCAGCACTGCCGGGCTCCGGGGCAGCCCCGTGGGCACGGCCGGGGTGGGATGCCCGCAGTCAGCGTGCCGGGGAGGGGACTCTGGCAAGTCCCGTGGGGGACCCGGGGCTGGGGGCTGGCATGCCTCTGCCGATGTCCCCTGCGTCCCTTCCCCTGATTTCTGCTTCTGAGCCGCGGTTGTTTTCAGGTGTGGAAAACCCCAGGAGGAATCTGGGCTGTGCGGTGTCCGGCTTTGCCGTGGAAATGGGGTCTCGGCTCCGCTGACTGCTGGCAGACGGCTTAAATCCCCGGCGCGGTCCAGAGGCAGTTTGGCTCCCTGCCCGCGGCCACCCAGGGAAGGGGTGTGGGGTGCTGCGGGGTGCCACGGGACCCCCGTGGAGGAGAAGCACCCCGTAAATGTCAGTTATTACATCTGTTAATGGGGGTCAGTGGATTGCCGGTGAGCCAACCAAGGAGTGCAGCGCTGCCGGTGAGGCGTGCATCAGTGCTGGCGGTGGGGAGGGGGCTGCCCCCCCCTCAGGGGACACACTCTGGCCCCTGCCACCATCACCAGTGCTGCTTCTGCCCCTGGCCAGACCGGCACAGTCACAGTGTGCACAAGGTTTTGGGCAGATCAGGGCCTGATTCTGCAAACGGGGCTGCCTGGGCCCTGGGAGGGAGCGGGAGGCAGCCTGTGGTTTGCACCGCTGAGCTGGGTGCTAAACTGGGCTCAAACACTGCTGCTGGGGTTGAGGGGATGCGGGTCAGATGCTGCAGCCCTGGCGTGTGCTTTCCAAGCTGGACCACGGGTGGGAGCTGGATTTAGCTGCCCCATCAGGCTGGGGATGAGGGACAGGGGGTCCCCAAGCTGGAACCAGTCCTTGCGAGCTTCACGATGGCCAGCGCGGGGCCAGAGGAGGCTGGTGGCACAGAGGAGAACCCCCCTGCCTGGGTGCCACTGGCGTTAGTGCCATTGTCCGGTTCAGGGTTTATTTTTAGATTTCCTGAAGCTTGTTTTCGGCCATCCCTCCCAGCGTGCTCAGGCTCCCCAGGGGCAACCCCACCTTGACAAGCAGCTTTCCTTTGGAAGATGCTGACCAATGTTTCCAGAAAGCATCCAAAGGATTTCCTGTTTATTTTGCAAAATTCTCATTAATATTTTTTTCCTGTGTTGTTTGATTCAATCTCACATGGGCAAAATCGCCTCGAAATGGAGCCTGCGGTTAAAAAAATAGACAAAGAGTCAGTAATGCAGCGGCTGTGGGGACGCGCGGCTGGATTCGGCACCCCCTCGGAGCTGTTACCGTCCTGGCGTCTGCAGGGCATGAGCCAGCCCGGCGTCCTTGGGGAGCCGGGGGCGCCTCGGCATCCCC